CCCCCCCCTGTGATTTCAACCCCTCCCCCACAAACCATAACAATGAACACTCCCTTACATAAACCAAAACAAATCATTCAAAATCACATATATTTCGACTGCTAGGACAATAAAAAACTATACAAACTAGAACAATGAAAAATGATGTAATATTTTAAGTAAGTGTTACAGAATGAGTAACTAATTACCAAAATATGTTCAAAATCTCTTCAAACTTCAATAATGTGATTATGTGAACAAATTTAGTATGCCAAATTTGAATAAATTAAATCATCAAAACTGAGGATTTAATTTATGCAGGGACAAGAAATCACACCCAATGTTCACCTTACTAATTGTAAGACTAATAGATCTTATGCATAATGACATCACAAGGCTTGATGCCCGCGAGGAATGTACCACTTAATAGTCATCGCTCGGGAAAATTTCGATAGTGGCCATTTTGAATTGTTTAATTTTCCCGGGCAAAGACTACTAAGACCAGCATTCCTCGCGGGCATCAAGCCTTGTGATGTTATTATGCATAAGGTCTATTGTAAGGTGACACAGGCTATCAGCTGTTCTGCCAAGGTGTTCTGCATAAAATGAGGGAGCTAGATTACAATATTTGTGATTTTTCTGAGTTCAACACGAGCTGACAATAAACATGGGCTCAATGAAATCTCTAGCGGGGACTAAGGGAATGCTGTGAGTGCTTCGTTTACAAGAACCTTGAAACTAAGACTTCATTCAGAGCACTCTTGCTCAGCTGTGCAATGCATATCAATCGACATGCGTTTAGATAATTTGTTAGTTTTTTCTGGCAGCACTCCCAACACTACTGTGTTGCAGGTAAAACATAAAGAATGCGCGAGATTTCTTCAAACTGTCTTCATGTGGGAGGGAGATGATTAATGACTCCAAAATGCAGGACTCTCCCACCAAATGCAGGAGACTTGGTAGGTCTGTATCAGTTTCTCTGACTAAAAACATTAATATCTCAACATTCATACCATGACAATGACAATGCATTATACTGAGGCAGGCAGGCCTATCAAATTCCTTGAACACTGACCTGCCCCTCCACCCGTCTTCAGCACGAAAATGTGTGGATTTTCACCCCACAAACCCACCCACTCAACCCAGGGTTTTTCTTCGCAAGTATTTCTTTTGTTCATCATCATGTACTGTACACACTTATAATGCTACACACTGGCATATTTTCACAAATCAACAAATGCAACTAACTTTTTTTCAGAATAAAATTTTGACAAGATATTACGAAACATTGGCTTGATATTCGCGCACATGGCGCTTCAATCACTTGATACGGCAAAATACTCGACTAAAAAATTTATGATTATTCAAAATTTGTGATTTCAAAACCCCATTATCAATAATTAGACAAAAAACTACACATTAAATACTGAATATCCATACCTGAACTTCGAAGAATATGAAGGAAAACTGGGAAGAAGTCGACTTTGATTCTGCACCAGAGAGAGACAGCACGTGTTGTAACCTTCGATCAACTTGCGTCACGCGAAAACTGCTCATGCGCAATATTGAAAATCACATACACCAAAAGATCACCACAAAGTAGCATGGCCGACTCTGCATGACCGAGTGAACAACTGCCAAGGCCTTTGATGTTTTTTTAATTTTAAAGTATTTCTTGTTGCTTAGTCTCATATTGGTCTCTTTTATTTTGACCAAACCATTTCAAAATGGGTTACCCTGCAAGCAGAGTGCCAGAGTATCCAGCTTTTAAAAATGGGTGTGATGATCAACCTCGCAATATACATGCATGCCCCTCAGCCCCTGTAAATTTTTGTACAATATTAACATAGGCAGTGCCGTAGCACTGGGGGGGACATATTCATATATTCGTGTTCACAAACCATAAAAACAATCGATTTCTAAAGAAATTAATAACGCAGAACACGAATCAGTATATGAATATCTGCCCCCCGAATTATCGAGCTTGCTACGGCACTGAACATAGGTGACGACTAAGACAATTATCTATGTCTCTCGTTACTATTGTATCGACATAGAAAATTTTTACTTTTGTTTTTCAACATTTTCGTAATTCATTCTAATTTGTGTTGACAGAAGTTGTTTCACTTGTTTGACTATTCGTATAATTTTTATGTTCTTGCTTCTACTTTTCAATGATGTGATTTAACGCTCTTTCACCAAAAAGAATTGCGTGATTATTACGCAAGGTTGAGGAGTGTGCACGTGTTGTGGAATAGACCTCGGAATATACCAGACAAAGTTTCTAAAAATGGTGAGAAATTTCTATTTGTTGCTATTGTTTTTTGACTGTATAGTGAATGCTTTATAGAGATTACTTAAAACTGTTTAGTATAGTGAGAAAAATTGTGAAAATATACAGTAAATAAGTTATAAATAATGTGTTTGTGGGGCGGTCAAGTATATTTGAGTATTTGACTGTTTGAGATGTTAGTATTAAATTTAGTGGTTGTAGACAGTGTTTTTCATGTTAATGTGGAAAATATTCTTTTGAAAATGAGAATTGTGTGGAGACAAATGGTGGACAATTCAGTTTACTTTATATTCAAGTGCCATCTGCACTGTATAAATGTCAAATTGACGTTTTTGAGTGAGTAGGTGGGTCAAAATTCAAGGCTGGGTGGGTGGGTTTGGTTAAAAATGACGTTTTGTGTGGCAATTTGTGGATATGTACCCCCAGTCCTTGAAACTCAGGTCGGCATTCTGCAATGCCGACCTATGTAAATGCCGACCTGCAAAGCGATATGTGTAGATTTAGGTCGGCAAAATTTTGCATAATTGGTATTTTTCGCAATGGTATTTTTCAAATACCTCTCGGCTTTTTTTTCCTTGAATACATCTTCCACATACGCATTTTCAACGATGTTTTAATTATCAGGTTTTGATCATTAGCTTGCGTAGTCACATTGCAGTTTCATTGTTGAAAGGTGATACTTGAAACTTTGAAAATAAACATATGTGTTAAAATCATCCAAGCGAAAGTATATGGTAATAAAGCTGTCACAACATTTGGTCACAACATGCACTGTTCGATTGGAGTTCATACATTTTGTTAGTTTTGTTTGCTATTGGCATTGATTGCAATTAATTGAAGTTTATAAATACGCATATTTGCAGCAAGCAAATAAAATTTTTATTTGGATATTTTCTATTTGTTTTGAAAATATTTGCCAACCTAGATTGAGAATTATCACTTTTAGGTTGGCAATTTCTTGCCGACCTGAAATTTCGGGAGTTTCAAGGACTGACCCCTCAATAAATATGTAATTGCAGATTCTTGGTTCCCTTTAGGCCCCCCTCCCAAATATTAGGGGTGTACCGGAACCAATTTTTAAAGTTCCGTCTGGAACCGGATCCGTCCGGAATCGGATCCGGCCAGAACTGGAAAAAGTCCCGGCCGGAACTGACTTATTAAGCCATATATAGTCACATGTTACTTTGTCTGCTGCCAGACAGGCAGACACTTCAATTAGTCATCAAGGAGGAGCTCACAAATGTTAGAGTAAAAAGATTGACAAGTGTTAATAGTGTAAATTTCCCTTGTGTAGTCCAGATTTCTTCCTACTGTGAACTTTTATTAGATGCAAAAATGTTTAATATTCTATATCTCTTAAAATGACAGAGTTCCGGTTTCGGCCATGTTTTTTTTATTAGTTCCAGCCGGAACTCTGAAAAATCGGAATTCCGAACTGACCAGCCGGAACCGAGTTCCGGTGCACCCCTACCCCCCATGTTATGGGATAAAATCTGTTTCTCATTGGCCATCAAATATTGCCTGATGCCTTGTACTGACTCAAAAACTAGTGTCATCAAAAGTAGTTTCATCAAAAGTTTTTGAAATACCGTAAATCTCGAGATCTGAATATAAGCCCTGAGCTTATATTAGTTTGTAAGTATTTTTTAATGGGCTCATATTTTGGGGGGCCTTATATGTGGGCAGGGTCTTAGCTAGGATCTTAGATCTTGGGCGTGTTTCTAATGACCAGGGCGTGCACATGTCAATTACCTTGAATAGCAAAATCACGGTTCTAGTTATGCTCGCCAACAACATGTTGCGAATCTATGCTTTGCAACCAGTTATTTCAGCAACTCCTGGGGTATTTAAAACCATTTTAACACCATACAGTTCCCATTATCCATCAAAACATTAAACTCATCACAGATCACTTTTTCAAATTTCAACAACAACAGTAGATTTTACAAACTTTCTTACGACGTAAATAGGAAGAAATTCTGTCTGTTGTAAGTAGCAAGACCTTATTTTATGAACCTACACGGCCTTATATAAATAATGAAGCCGCGTTCATTTTATCTAGCCGTGTTTTTCCACTTTTGGCCGCGATAACACGGTCAACACGGCCCTCTAGCTAAGACCCTGTATGTGGGGTGCTTACATACAGACGACATTTGTTGTTAGTAATAGTAATAACTCTCACTCAAAGTACCCAACCTCTTAAGACTTCCACTGACAGTAAAATTTGCTTACCGGAGGAATTCTAGGGCTCAAAATCATATATCCCTGAAGAATTGAATGTCCTCAGTAACAAGAGGGTTATACAGAATGATGTTAAATGAAATAGCCCAATTTTCTCTTTAGGCTGCAGCTATTCGAAAGTTACGACCATTACTTGATCGAGTCATTGTTGAGAAATTTATGCCAGAAACAGTGAGTAAATTTGACCTTTTTTTCAAAAATTACAGTGGAACCCTGTTAAAATGAGCACCATTCGGCCAAAATATTTTGGTCGTTTTAACTGGGTGGTCAAATTATGGCACAGGTTTTTACTGACATCATGCCAAACAGGTCATAGCTCAGTTATTAGTTAAAACATTAAAAATTTAGAAACATATTTTATTTACTGAACACAATTTAAATAGATACCGTAAATTTGCATCACAGATAATAATTATACCCTGTGTCTTTGACTAAATGCCTGTAGGTTCTAAAAAGGATGGTTCTAGACATTGAAGCAAATCTGTTTGTGCTTGGCAATTTACTTTAGTGCATACAAATGTAAATTTATTGGGAAAGCGGTCAATCGGGCATAGTCGTGGGTTCGGGATGGAGGTCCCATGCATTTATAGATTTATTGGACTAGCTGCAAAGAAACATTGACATGCTTAATTAACAAGTTGCTGGACATTCCAAGTAACATATGACTTATCTGTTCTTGGAAAGAGATTATGGCCAAAAACGATCAAAAGGGAAGAGCAGCAGGAATAACAAGCAAAAAATATATAAAACTTAGTTAATCGAGACTAATACTAATTAATCAACAGTGAAAAATGCTTTGTCAAGTTTACACTTTCTTTTAGCCACATGTAATCCAATTTACTGTTCAATTATTTGACTATGATATATTAAATTATGCTTGTCTTCACTACATAAACGGCCAACAGGGCATTGTTTGGTATATTAATATTTATGTGGTCATATTAAAGAGTTGCCTGGGGACATCAAGGGGGAGGTGGTTGTATTAACAGGGTCTTAATCAGATGAGAAAAATACTTAGGTGTTGTTGGGGGAAATGAAAAGTGGTTGTATTATATGAGGTGTGGATAGGGACAAAAATGCAATTGGATCGGGACAAAAATGCAATTGGATCGGGACAAAAATACAATTGGATCGGGACAAAAATACAATTGGATCGGGACAAAAATACAATTGGATCGGGACAAAAATACAATTGGATCGGGACAAAAAATATACAATTGGATCGGGACAAAAATACAATTGGATCGGACAGTGTTTAATTAATGCGGGCTGAAAGCCATTGGGTGTTAAACAATTCAATCGGGCTTTAAACAATTCAATCGGGCTTTAAACAATTCAATCGGGCTTTAAACAATTCAATCGGGCTTTAAACAATTCAATCGAGCTTTAAACAATTCAATCGGGCTTTAAACAATTCAATCGGGCTTTAAACAATTCAATCGGGCGTTAAACAATTCAATCGGGCGTTAAACAATTCAATCGGGCGTTAAACAATTCAATCGGGCGTTAAACAATTCAATCGGGCGTTAAACAATTCAATCGGGTGTTAAACAATTCAATCGGGTGTTAAACAATTCAATCGGGTGTTAAACAATTCAATCGGGTGTTAAACAATTCAATCGGGTGTTAAACAATTCAATCGGGTGTTAAACAATTCAATCGGGTGTTAAACAATTAGATCTGGCACAATCAGTCGGGCTTAAAGCCATCGGGTGTTAAACAATTAGATCGGGCATAATAACTCGGGAAACCAATATACCCGAACAAGTTACAGTCAAAATACAAGAACCTTCCCGCTTCTGTAGTGTGTTGACATTTTCTGTAATTTGTTCTGTATTACTGTGTAAACGGTTACCGATTTATAAACAAATACCGCGATAAAATTCATATTTCGCAGCTTTCATGTGTTAAAATGCCGTGAATAAAACGAGAAATGTATTTCTCGCCACAACTTATTATAACAAAGCCAAAGGAAACTAAATGTTGTGGCAATATTTTGATACTTGCTTGAAATAAATTTGGTACTGAAATCGCTGAGAAAAACAGAAAATGTTACAGAGAATATTCAATTCGCATTATAGACTTTCAAAAGTAGGCAAGGAGATGCAACTAAATTACCACAGCTAGCAAAGCGGCATACTAAAATGAGTAATAATTTGGTCGCGAAATGTTGTAAAATGCGGGAAGTATAGCCTTGCAAAGTTTGCAAATTTTGTACACTTTTGTATTGCGTGCCGAAAATTGTAGTATTTCCGCACGCAAACAAAAGTAAGGCTTTATGAGTAAGGCTTTGCAAGGCTATATTTTCCGCATTTTACAGCATTTCGCAACCAAACGTTGCAATTTTACTCATCGTAGTATGTGCTCCTTCTAGCTGTGCCTGTGGCGCCGATTTATTTGCATCTCCTTGCCGGCTATACTCCTATACAGTAGTTTTGAAATTAGTCTATAATGCGAATTGTACTATTCTCTGTAAAATTTTCTGTTTTTCTGTAGCGATTTATACCAAATTTATTTCAACATGTATCAAAATATGGCCACAACATTTAGTTTCCTTTGTTTTTATTTATTATATAAAGTATAGTGCTTTATAGAGATTTCGAGCAGTGATAAAACTGATAATCTCACATGTGAGTTATTTATGATAATCTCGCATGTGAAAATTATCACTTTTCAAATTTCAATTATCGCTTTTCTCTAAAAATTATCGCTTTTCAAAGACTGTCCTGTATATAATAAACAGAAAAATACACTGTGCGCGAACGAGTGAGATATCATGTTCAACACGAAAAATAAATCTGATATTTCCAAGCACCCATGTATAAAGGCCCGTTTCCACTCAGGAAAATTTTCAAAGGAACGAAAAATTTGTAAAATGCGATTGGCCGACACAAATTTTCCGTCGGAAAAAAATTTTGAAGTTGACTCTCAATGCATGATATTTTCGGAAAAATTTCTGTCCGTGGAAAATTTTCTTGAGTGGAAATAAGCCTTTATTAGTCTATAGTATAATAAATTGTGGCGAGAAATACATTTCTCGTTTTATTCACGGCATTTTAACACATGAAAGCTGCGAAATATGAATTTTATCGCGGTATTTGTTTATAAATCGGTAACCGTTTATACAGTAATACAGAACAAATTACTGAAAATGTCAACAGGAGAAGCGGGAAGGTTCTTGTATTTTGACTGTAACTTGTTCGGGTATGTTGGTTTACCCGATGGCTTTCAGCCCGACTGATTATGCCCGATCTAATTGTTTAACACCCGATGGCTTTAAGTCCGACTGATTATGCCCGATCTAATTGTTTAACACCCGATTGAATTGGATTGTTTAAAGCCCGATTGAATTGTTTAAAGCCCGATTGAATTGTTTAAAGGCTTTCAGCCCGATTGAATTGTTTAAAGCCCGATTGAATTGTTTAACGCCCGATTGAATTGTTTAACGCCCGATTGAATTGTTTAACGCCCGATTGAATTGTTTAACGCCCGATTGAATTGTTTAAAGCCCGATTGAATTGTTTAACGCCCGATTGAATTGTTTAACGCCCGATTGAATTGTTTAACGCCCGATTGAATTGTTTAACGCCCGATTGAATTGTTTAACGCCCGATTGAATTGTTTAACGCCCGATTGAATTGTTTAACGCCCGATTGAATTGTTTAACACCCGATTGAATTGTTTAACACCCAACCAATGGCTTTCAGCCTATAGTCTAGGACCTGTATATGAGTTTGTATGCGCTTCATTTAGGACAGGTAATCTCAACTGTTTTAGGGTAAAATGACCATGGCGGTCAACATGGCATAATTGAATTGTTTAACACCCAACCAATGGCTTTCAGCCTATAGTCTAGGACCTGTATATGAGTTTGTATGCGCTTCATTTAGGACAGGTAATCTCAACTGTTTTAGGGTAAAATGACCATGGCGGTCAACATGGCATATGTGCGAAAACCTGAATCCGGGACGAAAGTCCTGAAAATGACCCCGCCCTGAAACGGCAGTGTCGACATAGCTCTAACTTCCGAAAAGGAAAAGCGATAGCCTTTCTGAAGTGCTTATAGTGTTTAGAAGGGTTGCTTTTAGGGGTGGTCATTGGAAGGAAAAATTTGTCTGAGTATAATATTTTGCCAGAAAATGACTATGCACCACCTCAGGTAAATTGCTGATTATGCACAAAATAACTAATATGCCTGGCAGAAATTTAATGTTCTTATTTCCTAAAAAAAATTATCATGGGATGAAAAACTATGCTTAATTTAATATTATTATTGTCATTTTCATAAGGATTGTCATTGTTTTCTTTAAATATAATACATTTTAATTCACTCACCCCCCCCGAAAACACCATTTCAGCCATACTTTGCCGTCTTGTCTGCTTTTTATCGCCGAGTCTCGCAGGTGTCATCCAGTTGTTGTACTTTTACATCATGATAGATGGCTAAAGATGATTTCGACGAAGTTTAATGAAGTTTTGAAACAGTGCAGTATATTTTATCTTCTATATTGTGTCCTTCGATATTTCGTCAAATTGCCGCCATGTTAATGGCTCGCCGCTTCTCTGCCCGATAAATTCCACTTCTTCGTCTTCCTATCAAAGAGTACTTCATTGTAGAATAGTCCCAATCGAAAAAATGAAAACATTTGTTGGGTTTTGATGCCAATACCCTCCAGGTAACCATTTACGTTCAAAATAAAATACAAAGCATTTGAAAGTCACGCGCAATCTTCGCGAAAACTTCTCGTGGACACATGACAGGGGGGGTTGAATATTTTCACGAATATGTTCGCCACCACAGAAACAGAACTAAATATATTGTATTTATTGTATTTTTATGATTTATGACAAAACTACGCAAATAGTATTTATTGTTTTTATTATAAATCATAAAAATACAATAAATACAATATATTTTGTTATGTTTCTGTGGTGGCGAACATATTCGTGAAAATATTCAACCCCCCCTGTCATGTGTCCACGAGAAGTTTTCGCGAAGATTGCGCGTGACTTTCAAATGATTTGTTTTTTATTTTGAACCTAAATGGTATACGGAGGATTTTTCCTTCCTAATGGGACAAATCTTGCCAATTTTTGGATTGGGACTATTCTACAATGAAGTACTCTTGGATACTGTAATCTAAATACATATGGAAACGAAGAAGTTGCATTTATCAGAC